GTGGTGGTAGTGGTATGGGGTGGTGGGGTGGTAGGCTACCCTTTTAAAGATAAAGCCGGCCCTGGCCCATTTGGCTCAACCGTTAGAGTGTCGGCCTGCGGACCAGAGAGTCCCAGATTCAGTTCTCCTTAAGGGCACGTACCTCAGTTGCAGTTTGTTCCCAGCCCCGGCTGGGGTCTTGTGGGTGGCAGCCACTTAATGTGTCTCTCTTACATCGATGTTTCTCTCTCTCTCTTCCTCCCTCTCTCCTTCCTGCTCTATCTGAAGATAAATGAAAAAAAAAAAAAGCCCTCGGGTGAGGATAAAAAATTAAGTAAATAAATAAAAATTAAGATGGAGCCAAATACACGATCTGGAAATAGCCTTATGAGGTCACATATTATACTAGTCTCCTGTGGTTGTTATAACAAATCACCACAAACTTAGTGCCTGAAAATAACACAAATATATTATCATACAGTCGTGGGGATCAAGTGTCTGAGCGGGCTAAAATCAGCCTTTTCGGGGAGCTCCTGGAGAGAATCCATTTCCTTACCTCTTCCAGCTCCTGGTGGCGCCCACATTCCGTGGCATGTGCCCCTTCCTCCATCTTCGAAGCCAGCAGAGTAGCACGGCTCTGACCCAGCTCAATAGACCATCTTCTTGGACCACAGCCAGTTATCCAGTCGCAAAGACTCACGGGATTCGACTGGCCCACCTGGATAATCTGTGTCCCGAGGTCCACGTCATTCATCACATCCACAAAGTCCCTTTGCCACAGAAGGCAACCGAGTTCAAGTGTCCATGGACACGGTTGGTGGCCACTGTTCTGCCCACTACACATCCCTTTGGCTTTTCTTTCAGAGAATTACTGAAGGTATTTGTTTATATGAAGCAAAGGGAAACGGATGAAAACCTTCCCACATATGACTCGTGATTTTCGTGTCAGCCCCGATGTCATCCAAGAGAAAAGGACTTGAGATGCTGCCATCAGCTCACTTCTGAGGAGCCACCTCCCGAACTGGGGCTGAAGTGGCACTTGGGGATGAAAAGACGCTTGGATCCTGATGATCAGGAAACGCACATTCTAACTCCAGCCAGACTGTTTTCCCAGCTTCTGGGAACACAGGACTAGGAGGTGCACATCCCTTTGACCTACGGCTCCTTTTGGGGAATCTAAAGCACCCTAACAGTAAAACCCATGATGCAAATAAAAAAGGTTAAGGATATGAACCCCACATCGTTTACATGGGAAAAAAGCCAAAAAACACCGGCACGGCTACTGGTAGCAGCAGGTGTGAATACCATGGGAGTCACTGTGCCATGGCAGTTAGGTAAGGTGGATGGTAATGTGGGGAGACCCTCAGCCCTGTGCACCCCCAGCCTCCCTCCGAGCGAGGTGACGCGTCCAGGGAGCCCTGAGACGTGCCGGCAGGACCCATGTCGGAAAGCACAGCCTTAGGCTCATACCCATCCTAACAGAGCTGACTCAGGGTCAGCAGGGCGGTGTCCTGAGAGGTTAGGACACAGACACAAACACAGAGGGACAGCCATGCAAAGAGACACAGGGAGAACGGGATGTGATGTTGGAGGAAGACCTCAGAGTGATGCCTTACATTCAGCAATATCAGAAGCTAAGAGAGCAGCCTGGAACAGTCTCCCCAGAGCCCTGGGAGAGAGCACAGCCCTGCCACGCCTTGACTTTGGGTTCCAGACTGTGGCAGGATACCTTTCTCCTATTTTAGGGCACTGTGTGGTATTGTTATGGCATTCCTTGGAAACCAGTACACCCTGCAGTGACCTTATGTAGCACAGTTAGGTCGCACTGGCGATTACTGTGTCTTATAAGAGTAAGTTTGTAAAAGGCAAGCATTTAAAATGTACCTCAGGCGCTCGCCGGTTTGGCTTAGCAGTAGAATGTCGGCCAGCGGACCAAAGAGTCCCAGGTTCGATTCTGGTCAAAGGCACGTACCTCGGTTGTGGTTCAGTCCCTGGCCCTGGTCAGGGCCCTGCGGGAGGCAACCAATCAATGTGTCTCTCTCACATCGATGTTTCTCTCTCCCTCTCCCTCCCTCCCTCCCACTCTATCTGAAGATAAAAATGGAAAAAAGTATCCTTGTGTGAGGATCTAAAATAAATACATAAAGAGATAAAGTGTACCTTAGTTTCGAAATCCTGAAAAAAATATATATGCTGAAATTGAAATATACGTACATTTAAATGTGTGATGTAAAACATATATACTGGAACTTTTCATATATATATACACACACACATACACGTTTTCAAAATTATATCACATATATCTGTGTCTACCTGTGTTTTGTAAAGTGCTATATATAGATACTATATAGATACTATTCTATATATTATATACATAGTAGATCTATATCTATATATATATCTGGAGGTAAATATAAATGTGTAAATATCTATAGATAGATAGATTAATAGAAAGTGTCCCAGACCTGTCTCAACCTCTGCAAAGTCCTGTTATATACTTCTGTGTCCTTCTGAAATTTTCTGTACTCTTTTTTTACACCAGACTCTCCTAAAGTGACATGGGACACAGAGTGAAAGTCTCCTTGACAGAGAGCGTCTGTCCTACCCCAGACTGCCAACAGTCTGCTTTTAAAGTTCTTCTTGCTAAAAAGAAGCAACTGTTGTTCTTAATACAAGGGCCCCATGCTCTCACCCTAACCCCCTTGTTTACACAGACATAGAGTCAAATGTGAGCTCCTCCTAACCTCTATGAGCTCATCTTCTCCAGCCACACGCCTCATTGCTGTCCCTAATGACTCCAGGCCAGATCCACCTCAGGGCCTTTGCACTGGCTGGTCCTTCTCCCTGGAGTTCTCTCCCCTTAAATATCTGTGTGGCTCCTTCCCTCCCCTTCAGCAGGTTTTGACTCAAATATCACTATCTTAGAGAAGGCCTGCTGGTCACCCGTTTGCAGTGGGGTCCTTAAAATGATGATCTTTACAAGTTGTAGGGTTGGGCCAGTTAACGACACTCACAGCTAGTGAACAAACCACCCAGAAGGCTGGGTGTGAGAACAACTATTACTCTTGGTTTGATATCTTTCCCCACAACGTTTTGGTGGGAATTTTTTTTTTTAAATGCCAAAGGTATAAACACTGCTGTTGTCACCACCCAGAATTATACAATGGATAACATATTGTTATATTTGCTTCCATGGCCTTAAAAATAGAACATTGCAGATCAAGTCTTCTTGGCTGTCCCATCACACTCCTTTCTACGGCCTCTCGAAGCAACAGCCATCAGAATTTAATCTATATTCTTGTAGTCAATTTTTAAAAATTTACATACATAGCTGCCCTGGCCGGTTTGGCTCAGCGTTAGAGAGTCAGCCCACAGACCAAGGAATTTTGGATTCGAATCCGGTCAAGGGCACATACCTTGGGTGCAGTTCACTCCCAGCCCTGGTCGGGGTCATGCAGGAGGCAACCAATCGATGTTTCTCATGTTGATGTCTCTCTCTCTCTCTCTCTCTCTCTCTCTCTCTCTCTCTCTCTCTCCCCCTCACACTCTATCTGAAGATAAATGGAAAAATATCCTGGGGTGAGGATTTAAAAAAAAAAAAAATTTACATATATATCCAAGAAATAATATGGTTTCATGTGTTTGCAAAAATATAGTGTTATACTATATATAATTCCTTTATATAAAGTTATATTCTATAGCGTTCAAGTATATAAAGCTATTATCACAACTTTCTTGAACTTGCTTTTCTCAACATTATCCTTTTGGGATCTATCTAACCCTACAACACAGATGTACTTTATTCCTTTTAAATGATGCACAGTGACCCATAGTATCAATATATTTTACTTATACATTTCCCAATTGGACATCCCTGCAAGTTCAATTGATTATGTCACAGTGAGCATTATGTAAGCTCCATTTTCCGTTATTATGTCACAGAGAGCACTGTGATCCCTGTCTCCTTGTGTATGTCAGCAAGTTCAACTCCAAGGCCTCTCCCTAAAGTGGATATACAGGGACATGAGCTCGGGACATTAATGTTTTATTCGTTTCTGCACTCCCAGAAGCCGAACCAATGTACCCTCCCACCGGCAGCGCGCGCATCTGCTTGGTGTGTTCCGGGGTCCTCTGGGGCGCTCGCAGGCAGGTTCTCAGACACCTCGTGCCCCATTTGCGTCAGTCCCCTGGGTTCCCAAGACTTGCCTACAAATGCACTCAGGCCTAGTGGCCAAGTCCCTGGTGGCCTGGGCTCCCCGGGGACCTTTCCTGCAGAGCGTGACCACTCGGGCGGGGCTCCTGCTCTCCTGCACTCGGGGATGCTTGCCTGGGGAGGGGCCAGGGTATCAGTTGGAACACGGTGGCTGCCCCACAAATGCCAAAAACCGGCCTTGGGCTTGGGCTAGGAGCTCGCTGGGCTCCATTCGGCCGGGTATGGGTGGAGCCGGGGGTCCAGCTCCTCTTCCAGCCGCGATGAGCCCAGGAGGTGGGCACCCAGAGGCGAGGGACGTCCGAGTGCATGGACTCATGTGCGCCCGTGCGCTGCCTCCAGGATGTCGGCGGGCCGAGCTGCCCAGGTGCAGAACGCACACGGTCGCCACCGCGCGCAGGAAGCGGCCAAAAGCCCGCTGACCGATTACAAACGTCGTTTTTACCCCGCCCCCCAAGGTCCCGGTGGAGACCCAGGGGCAGGGACCGGGGCTGCGGTGCCCGTGTCCATGCGGGAGGCCCACGGTCTTTGTGTGGGCCGCTCCCCCGCGTTTCCCGCCCAAGACGCCGCGACCGACCGCTCCCCGCTCTGTGACCACGGCGGCCGTAGGGCGCGCCGCCTCGTCAGCGCATGCGCGCGCGGGAACCCAGCCTCGGGCCGGGCGCACGTGGCCCGCCGGCCGCCGTGCGTGCGCGCGCCCGCCCCTCCCTGCGCGCCAGGCGACGGGTGCGGCCGGCGGCGTCCGCCGGCGACCGCGCGCGCGCTCGCCAGGCCACGTGGGAGCGGCGTAGCGCCGTTGCCCCGCCCTCTTCGGCGCGCGCCGGCGTCGGCTGCGTCTCCGGGCATTTGAATTGCGCTTCCGCCATCTTTCCAGCTCTCAGTCAGACGGCCGCGGAGACGCTTCTGGAAGGTACCGGGGCCGGGCCGGGGGCCGGGGGCCGGGGGCCGAGGGCGGGGGCCGGGCCGGGGGCCGCGGACGGGGCGGAGGGCGGGGCCGCGGTGTCGCGGCGGCGGGCCGGGCGGCGGCCGTGAGCGGGCGGTTACTCAGGGCCTGGGCGGCGGGCGGGCGGGCGGGCGGGCGGGCGCGGGCCCTTCTCCCTCCCGGTGGCGGAGGCCGCGGGCCGGGTCCCCGCGCGGCGGGCCGAGCAGGGCGGCTGGGCGGCCGGGGCCGGGGCCTGGCAGGGGAGCGGAGGCCGCCCGGGCCGCGTGACCAGGCGCTTTGGGCGGCCCGGCCTCCGAGCGGCTCCCGGGCGGGCGCGCGGCCAGCCCGGCGCTGAATGAGCGGGCGGGGACCTGCCGCCATTGCGCCGCCGCCGCCCGCCCGGCCGCGTGCCCGCCCCGCGCCCGCCCGCAGCCCGCCCGCCGCCCGGGCGGCGATGGGCCGGGGCGCCGGCCTTTGTGGCGCACGTGGGCCCGCCCGCCATGTGCGCCCCGCCCGCCCGCCTGATCCTTCCTCTCCGCTTTGCAGTGACATCGCCATGGCCGCCCAAGGAGAACCCCAAGTTCAGTTCAAAGTACGTCGGCCGCGGCGGCTGCGCCCAGCGCCGGGGTCCGCGGGGAGGGCGCCCCGGGGCGGCGGGCGGCGGCCGGCTCCGGCTTTGTCAGCGGCCCGCGCGCCCCCAAAACACAGCCGCGGAGCCGGGGCCCTCGAGTTGTGTCCCTCGCGCGGAGTGGGGTCCGGGAGGGGTGCGCGGTCGGGGCCTTATTTCAGAAGCGTGTTTCCCGGCAGCTCGTCTTGGTGGGTGACGGCGGGACCGGGAAAACGACCTTCGTGAAGCGGCACCTGACCGGGGAGTTCGAGAAGAAGTATGTCGGTACGTGGGCAGCGCGGCGGCGGGCGTGGGGCGGCCGCGCGCGGGCCTGGACTGACCTGGCTGCTGCTCGTTTCAGCCACGCTGGGCGTCGAGGTGCACCCCCTCGTGTTCCACACCAACAGGGGGCCCATCAAGTTCAACGTGTGGGACACCGCGGGCCAGGAGAAGTTCGGCGGGCTGAGAGACGGCTACTACATCCAAGGTGCGAGTCCGCGTGGGCAGGGGCTGAGTGTGCTGGGGGGTGTGCGGGTCTGGGGGAAAGATGCTGCCTCCGGGGAGCTGGCCCGCATTTGAAGGGGAGAAAATATTATACACGCTTTTGTGTCATTGGATCACACCCTGTGCCTTGATAGACACTTTAAAAAGAAAAAAAAGATTTGTGCTGAGGCTGGTAGTTTATTTTTATATATGTGTTTATTTTTAATCCTCCCTGGAGAATATTTTTCTATTTTCAGAAGGAGTGGGAGGGAGGGAGAGAGAAACATCAAGGTGAGAGAGACACATCCACTGGTGGCCTCCTGCAGGACCCCCACCAGGACCTGGGCGAATCACAGCCAAGGCACGCGCTTCTGACAGGAATCGAACCTGGGACTCTTTGGCCTGCAGGTTGACACTAACTGCTGAGCCAAACCCGCCAGGGCTCGAGGCTCATAGTTTAAAAAATGATTATCAACAGACACACCGTTCGTTGCTGCAGCCTCAGCATCTGGAAACGCAGTTTGGGTGTATATGGTGGTTACCAGTATTTTTTTTTTTTTTTAAATTCTCACCCAACAATACTTTTCCATTTATCTTCAGATAGAGTAGGAGGGAGACAGAAAGGGAGAGAGAGAGAGAAACATTGATGTGAGAGGACTGGCTGCCACCCCCAAGACCGCAACTGGGGCAGTGATGAACCACAACCGAGGTACATGCCCTTGGTCAGAATTGAACTGGTGACTCTTTGGTCCACAGGCCGACACTCTAACCCCTGAGCCAAACCGGCCAGGGCGGTTACGAGTAAGTATTTCCTGTCTACTCCATTAAAAAACAGTGACCGGTCTGACCACATACTGGATTCGAGGAGAGAAGGAGAGGAGAGAAAGAAACATTGATGAGAGAGAACGTCGATTGGCTGCTTCCTGCATGACCCCACTGGGGATCCGGCCCACAACCCGGGCATGTGCCCTGACCGAGAATTGAACCAGCGACCTCTTGGTGCAGGGTCGATGCTCAACCACTGAGCCACACCAGTGGGGTTACATAGAACTTTTCTTAGCTAAGAAACTTGTACCGTACGCTCTGCTTGTTCTCTTCCTAACTTGGTCGCAGCTGTCTCTACAGTTCACTCTATGTAGACTTAAAGAAGACAGAATATCCTGGTATATTGAGCCATTTTAAGAACCTTTTAAAGAATAGATTTCTAGACCCTCATAAAATGGGGGTGGTGAGTTTTCAGAATGCTGATTTAGCATTTATCTACTTTGAATACTGTTGGGATGAGGCAGAACTAATGGTGAAATGCTACAGGGAGAGAGTTGGTGTGGTAAGCTGGTCTTCCAGGCTCTCTAAGATGAACAGGAGTTGTAGATGATGATGTTTATTACCGTGAGTTAAGATCTTTAGAATTGGAAGAGATGTTGAAATTGAGAGACATCTAGATGACCTAGAGTTTGGCCTGAGACTGAGTTCGAATTCATGTTTCTTAGTATTTCTCATCCGTGTAGTAAATTTCTAGGAATGTACTAGTTACTGTAATTCCATCTTTCAGCCCAATGTGCCATTATAATGTTTGACGTAACTTCGAGAGTTACTTACAAGAATGTGCCGAACTGGCATAGAGACCTGGTGCGAGTGTGTGAGAACATCCCCATCGTGCTGTGTGGCAACAAAGTGGACATTAAGGACAGGAAAGTGAAGGCCAAGTCGATTGTCTTCCACCGAAAGAAGAACCTTCAGGTGTGTTTTTTAGAACTTACTGATCTATGACCCTTAGGGGAAATTACAGTCTAGGTCCATTGAAGTGACTCACAAATGTGGATCGGAAGAATTTTGTCTATTAGCTTGAAACGTCCCCGAGAATAACAAAGTGTCATTTTACTTGTTATGACAGTACTACGACATTTCTGCCAAAAGCAACTACAACTTTGAGAAGCCCTTCCTCTGGCTAGCGAGAAAGCTGATCGGAGACCCTAACTTGGAGTTTGTCGCCATGCCCGCTCTCGCCCCACCAGAAGTGGTCATGGACCCCGCTTTGGCAGCGCAGTATGAGCACGATCTAGAGGTGTGTTTGCTTCTGGTGATGCTGGTCGCGGGCGCGCTCCTGGCCGCTCTGTCTGGGGGTGTTAACAGTTTTCCATCTCTTTGTCCAGGTCGCCCAGACCACCGCTCTCCCGGACGAGGACGACGACCTGTGAGCAAGGGAGGCTGGAGCCCAGCGTCAGAAGTCTAGTTTTATAGGCAGCTGTCCTGTGACGTCAGTGGTGCCGTGTTTGCCACTTTATTATAGAGCTAAGCAGAACCTGTGCTTGATCTTGGGGTGCTGAAGGAGATGAATGGGCTTCGGAGTGAATGTGGCAGTTAAAATACCTTCATTTTTGGACCTACATATTTAGCTGTTTCGGAACGCAGTTGTTTCTCTGAGTTCCAACTATAAGAATGCTGCAGTTGCATCACAACATCAGTGGTGGTCCCTTGTTTGTTACTGTCATTCCCACGCCTTCGTTAGAATCAGAATAAAGTTGTATTTCAAATATCTAAGCAAGTGAGCTCATCCCTTGTTTAATAAGCATTTTAAAACCACTAACAAGGAAAGAAAGTTGTGCTGTTACTAATTTAATGTGACCGTTAAATTTTTCCTGTTTTATTTTTTGTACATTTGAATCATTTCACACGAATGAAATGACAGATTGATAGTATTTATGTGGTAAGTTAAGAGGTGTAAATATTGTCAATGCAGTTAAACTAAAATCACATCTGCCGCCTGCCTTCTGGCCAGGTGGTGCCGCCCGGGGAAGAGCGCGTTCAGATGTGTGCACCTGCCAGAATGAGGCGGCGTGTGCTCACGTCAGACACCTGAAGAACCTTGGCTGCTTTCATTTTGTGGCAAAAGGAACGATGTGCAGTACAGAGCTTTTCAGGCAGATGAGACCATGCAGATAGGAGCTGTGGGAGTTTGGTCTGTTAGAATTGAAGATAAATTATGCCTTTATCTGCCTTTTGTTTTAATGTTAGGTGTTGATGAAAAGTTTGTGTTCTAGGAAGGTGTCCACGCGAGTGATTTTCGTGAGCTGTGCAAGGACAGACAAATAGCAGGTGATCACTACCGCGGAGGAGTCCAGCTTCCTCCTCGGTCATTCCTGTGGGGTTCCCACGGTTCGAAGTGGACTGGTTCTGCCTTGTGTAGTTGGATCCCAGTGGCACCACACTAGAACCAGGAGTCCTGAGAGGATGAGCTGTCTTGTTCATGGAAGGACTGCTATTGCTCAGTTTACCAAAGTTCTCTAGCTGTCCAGTTTTCCTTTAATGGCTTTCTTACCAAAAAAAGGTAGGTAAGGATCCCTTAAATATACAAAATAAGATACAAAGGGCAGCATTGATTCCTTTAACTTGAGATTGGACGAGCACGTTAGTGGCTCGCAGACTGGAGCTGCTGCGTATGTGATGCTGTTCATCAGGGTGGAGCCTTCAGCTGACGACGAGATGGGTGGGGTGTGCGTGGAATGCAAGCGTGGCAGGTACTTGGCCTGAAATGTAATGTCACGTTTTGGAAGCTGCTTGTTTAACGTGTGTGGGGGTGGGAATTTATAAGTCATTGGAAGAAAATGCTGCTGCAAAATATATTGCTTCTACTTTGCTTGGATTTCTGAATCTCTAGTATTTGCAAAATGCTTAATAGTATAGATTATCACGTTGGCTGGGGGTAGATTTCTGTCCGGCTTATATGGATGGGGAATGTGCCCTCAGTTTTTGAATAGTGGTATCTAATGGGGAAGACTTGACTTGAAAACTTTGGGTGGATACCGGCTGGTCACTGAACAGGAATGAGTTGGCGCAGGCCAGGGGGGAGCCCGGGGACACCGAGCATTCTGTATGGCAGGCGGGAGTCGGGTTTGCGAAACACTTCACAATAAAGCAAAATTTAAAAGAAGCACTGGTAAGATTCAGTAAGGGTGACGTGTTTTTGAAAAGCAGTTTCCTTGTATGTGTAGCCAGTACTTTAAAAGCCCCTATAGACTAGGTTCTTGGGTCTGAACCTGTAAGCGAGGGGCTGATATTTAAACAATTTTTCTTAATGTTTCTGTTTTTTAGAGAGGGAGAGAGAGAAATATCAATCGGCTGGCTGCCTCCTGCATGCCCCCCACTGGGGATCGAGCCCACAACTCAGGCGTGTGCCCTGACCGGAAATCGAACCCAGACCTCTCAGTCCATGGGACATGCTCAATCCACTGAGCCACACCAGCCGGGCGAGATTTTAAAAAATATAAAAAGGACCCATTTCCTGGCTGATCACGAGTACCTGAAGTGACGGGTACAGGGGGTTCGGGTTTCCCAGGTAAAGGACAACTGTCTTAGGAAATTTGTGCTGAGTGAACAGGTGAAGGTTAATTGGTTTGCCTTGTGCACATGGGACAGGCTAATCTTAGGTTTTGATGACCTTTGGCCATGTCAGGGCTGTGGGTGTCCTGCCACATCCTGGAGCTGAGACACCTGCGAGGTGCACTGCCAGCAGCCCCATTAACCCCCAGTCTCTCCTGCACCTTCAGGCTGCGGGCTGGAAGCGGTGTGGCGGGGAGACAGGTTTCGAAGCCCCGGAGCGCTGCTGCTGGTCAGGACTCGGGAAGTGGGTCTGACCATCTCCACCCTGCCCCACATCCCCACCCGGCCTTGCAGGGGTGGGCCTCCTCCTCAGTCACCGGCACCCCATCCCCACAGCCTTCGTGTTTCTTGCCTTTTTTTCCAAATTGTAAGGTTTAGGAAGTTAGAGAGAAGTGAGCCAGCTGGGCTCAGGAAACAAGTCCCAGGCAGTGGGAAGACCGTGGGAGCGCAGCAGTCGCCTGGTCCAGCCCCTGCCCCAGCTCTGGCTGGTAGGTGGTCAGTGGCCCTGCTGTGGGCATTGCCAAGGCCCCTCACTGCCCTGCCCCACGGTGGGTTTGCCCAGGTTGTCTCCCCTCAGGTCTTTTTGCTCACTGGTGTCCCCAGCTTTCTATAGGACCCCTGAAGAACAGAAATTTGGGGGATAGAGGTGGGTGGGGGGTGGGAGGGGCAGGGAGAAGCAGGCCGAGTTCACTCGGGAGTTTGCGCTCCCCGTCGCCCACTCATTCCAGCCGGGTTTCGGCAGGCACGGGGAGGGGACAGCCTGTGATCCCCAGTCCACAAGGGGTCTGAGCCTTGGCTGTCGGCAGTGGGAGGGGAACCTCGCGTGTAACTGGTTTTCAGTGCCTGCCTTTGAGGAGCACGTGTGCACCATCCCAGGGGAGTCATCTCTAGGCTGCGGACAGTCCGTTCCGTGCAGCCTGAGCCGTGCACTTGGAGCTGATGATGACCCAGAGCTCCACTGAGAAGCTCCCTTCTGCGGAGCCCAGCAGCTGAGGGACACAGAAACGAGTGGGGACCAAGGTCATTGCTGAGGTGGGGACTCGGCCGAAGCGCCACCTGTGTGGGAGGCTTGGAGGCGAAGGGACAGGCACGAGGGCACAGACCCCGGCCAGGACGGCCGCAGAGGGAAGTGGGGCCCTGGGCAGGGTCTCATGAAGCCCGTGTACAGAGTCCCTGCCCACACAGCGGGAGCCACGGGGCTCAAGCGGGTGCCCAGGGAGTTGTGGCAGCGGGTACCAGGTATAGCATGTGTTCTGGTGAGGTGATTGCTAACATCAAGCTATTCATCTACCTCTCATATTTAAAAAATTCTTTATTGATTTGAGGGAGAGAAACATCGATGAGAGAGAACATCCGTTGGCTGCCTCCTGCACGCCCCCCACTGGGGATTTGGCCCACAATCTGGGCATGTGCCCTGACTGGGAATCGAACCGGCGACCTCTTGGTGCAGGGTCGACACTCAACCACTGAGCCACACAGGCGGGGCTTCACCTCTTATTTTTGTGTGTGTAGCAAGAACATTTAAAATTATTCTCAGCAGCCCAATCAGTGTAGCTCAGTGGACTGTCAGTCCCAGGGACTGAGAGGTCCCAGTTTGATTCCTGGTCAGGGCACATGCCCGGGTTGCAGGCTTGATCCCCAGTGAGGGGTGTGCAGGAGGCGGCCAATGAATGTTTCTATCTCTCTCACTTCTTCCCTCTCAAATATCAAAAATATATTTATAAAAAGTGAAATTAGCCCTGACCGGTTTGGCTCAGCAGTTAGAGCATCAGCCTGCGGACCGGAGAGGCACCAGTTTGATTCCAGCCAAGGGCACATACCCCGGTTGCGGTTCGTCCCCAGCCATGGTCAGGGTTGTGCAGGAGGCAACCAGTTGTGTCTCTGTCACATCGATGTTTCTCCCCGCCACTTCCTCCACTCTAAAGATAAATGGAAAAAATATCCTCTGGTGAGGATTAAAAAAAAAAAATTAGCCCTGGCCGGTTTGGCTCAGCGGTTAGAGTGTCGGCCTGCGATCCTGAGAGACCCGGGTTCGGTTCCCGCTAGGGGCGCGTACCTCGGTTGCAGTTTGTTCCCGGCCCTGGTTGGTTGTGCGGGTGGCAGCCACTCGATGTGTTCCTTTCACATCGATGTTTCTCTCTCTCTCTCTGTTCCTCTCTCTCCCTCCCACTCTACCTGAACAAAAAATGTCCTCGGGTGAGGATTAAAAAAAAAAAAAAAAAATTAGTCTCAGCAAATTTCAAATATATAGTGTACAGTAGTCCCTCTATCCATGGTTTCATTTACCCGCAGTCACCCTCCATGGCTCGGGGACCCTCCTGACACATCACCACACCCAAGTCACCTCTGTTCACCTCCCACGTGTCACAGAAGGATGAGCGGAGTACAGTAGCCCCTTTGAGAGGCCACGTTCACAGACGACTGCAGTCGTATTATGGTTACTGTTCAGCTCACTGTGCCCGGCCCATGAGTGAAACTTTATCCTCAGTATGTGTTACAGGAACAAATGCACATACAGGGCCTGGTGCCATTGTGGTTTCAGAGCCACTGGGGGTCTTGGGACGTGCACCCTGCATCGAAGGGGGAATCCATCGCTGTTGTAAAACTGCAGTTACGTGTCGGACATTGGCTCTCCAGACCCCTTTATCCTGCATAGCAAACCCAGTGCCCTTGACCAACACCTCCATTTCCCCGCCCAGCCCCTGGCAACCCCATGCCACTCACCTACGTGGGCATATGTGTGAAACGTGACGAAATGCTGAGTGGCAGAGGGGCGGCTCCTCTCCGACGGCTCCACCGTCACCGATGCTCATTCCAGCAACTGTTTCACCAGGACTGCAGCGACCTGAACGTCAGCTGTGACTCGGAAGGACAGTCTCGTCAGCCATCTGCGCGCCCTGGAGTGTGGCCTGCCTGGGACAGCAGAGTGAAGACTGTTTTCCCTTTCCGCTTTCTTGTTTTAATCCTCACTGGAGGATATTTTTTCCATTGATTTTTCCATAGAGTGGGAGGGTGGGGAGAGAAAGAGAAACATTGATGTGAGAGAGAAACATCGAGCGGTTGCCTCCCGCACATGCCCCAACCAGGGCCGGGGATCGAACCTGCAACCCAGGCATGCGCCCTTGATCAGGAATTGCACCCGGAACCCTTCCGTGCACTGG